GGAAAGGGGCTAAAAGCAGAACTAATAATTGACCTTGCCTATGTGAGGAAGCCTCCATCAAGTCCTCTCAGAATGGAATTTGGACCTTCTAAGTGGGTGAACATATCCAGGTACTGGGAGGGTGACATGCCCTAAGTCCATGGGGACAGAAACTCCTGCCCTGGTGGCCCTCCCAGACTGCACCCTATGGATCCCTTCATCTGGCTCTTCTTCTGTACCCTTTATCATATATTTTAATACGCTGCTAAATGTAAGTAAGGATTTCCCTGAGTTCTGGGAGCAGCTCTAGCAAATTAGGAGAAAGGGGTTAGGGGAACCTTTGATTTGTAGCCAAATCAGACAGTTGTGGACAAACTACTAGTAGTGATTGGCACCTGAGGTGGGTGGGAGCAGATCTGTGGACTGAGCCCTTAACCTGTGGGATCTGACACTGTCTCCAGGTAGATAGTGCCAGAATTGAGGTAAATTATAGGACACCCCACAAATGTTTCAGAAAATTACTTGGGGTGGGGAGGGACCCACACATCTAGTGACCAGAGTGTCAGAAGTGAAGCGTTCTGGCCCAGCCGGGCATGGCTCAGCGGTTGAGCGTTGACCTAGGATCCAGGCGATACGGGTTCGATTCCAGGTCAGGGCACATGCCCGGGTTGTGGGCTCAGTCTCCAGTTGGGAGTGTGAAGGAGGCGGCCCATCAATGACTTTCACCATTGATGTTTCTGTCTCTCTCTCTCTCCCTCTCCTTTCCTCTCTCTGAAATCAATAAAGATATATTTAAAAAAAAAAAAAAAAGAAGTGAAGCGTTCTGTATGAATGTGGTCATAGTGTGAGACTAAGAGGACACACAGGAGAAAGGCTCACAGGAGGGGAATACTGGGTTTTTCCACTTACAATTAGTTAATATGAAATTCAAAGCTTAAATAAGTCTAATACCTTTTTAGAGGCCTTGGTGGGAAATTGTGAATTCTCACCCACTACTGGTGAGCTGTTCCTCTCTGTCCTACTCTCTGAGTAGCCTTTCCTGTCTGTGTCAAACATCTACCCTGGTCATAAATAAAATAAGCAGGCTGAAACAGCCTGCCCATCGGCCATGAACTACCTTGTCTTTATGGGGCCCTGGCATTACCGCACAAATCCTAATAACTATTGAATTGATCAAATGAAGGGTAATGAGATTTGTACAACAGTTGTGCAGATAAGAACTTCTAAGATAAATAATATTAACAGTAGCACAGTTTTGTAAGGTTTGCACCATCACCGAAGCCACCACAAATGTCCTCGGAGACAGGGTCTGCAATCCCATCTTGTAGACGAGAGACAGAATTCTGGGAGGTGAAGTCACGTGCTTGGGTCCCTCCCAAGTTTTTGGCCTGTGTCCCCAGCACCGTGCTCTTATGCCTGCTATGTTTTGGGTCACTGCTCAGTAAGAATTGGAGAATACAAATATCTTCTAAAAGACTAATGTAAGAGAGAGATGTGCATGGTCTTTGCTTTGCTTACACACCAAGGACAAGGGGTTGGTAGCAGGGAACAGGCCAGAGAGGCGAACCACAGCCATGTGCCCAAACGCAAGCGGAGCTGGGCCACTTGATGGGCCTGCACCGCAGCTTGAGGCTGGGCCGAATTGTCACTGGGGACTATAGGAATGACTCAGTCTCAGAGGTCATCCCTGGCCACTTTGACCCCGCACAGGCGCACACTGCCTCTTCAACCTGCTTTCCTCCTGCCTCCCCTTCCATTTTTCCAGAGCTTCGGTTGCTGTTTGCAAAATCAGTCCCGGGGTCAGGACCTCACATTTGGCCTGAAATTTGGGGCTCCTCCTCTGGGAAAGGACCGTGGAAGTGGCCTTTGGTCCACTCCACAGGACATTCTGGTCCGACCCTGTGTTTTTCAGAAGAAACTGCTGAATTTGTGATTGCTATCTGCAGGCCGACACTGGCTGGGTGTGAGTCAGCAGCTCTGAGCAGCACACAGGTCGCATTCACTGGGACACATAAGCACCCTTCATTTAGCCACAGCATTTGTTCGTAATTTGCTTAAGTTAATACTTAAGAGGAAAATCTTCTCTTTATAGTTTTTATTTGAAAAGGTTGGATTTAGTTAGCCGTTGGGCCATCCGAGTGTCACTGATCAGCAGCGCTTCTCGTGGTGCAGGACGGCACCCAGCGACTCACTGACCAGGGATATCAGCCTCTGTTCCCGACCACACACCTAGAACCTGGTTCTGGTTTTCAGAAAAGCTCCCTGATCCTGGAAACAAAAGCAGATGTCTTGTCCTGGCACCCATATTTCTAACACAGCCCATCTGTGTAAAACCTCTGGAGGATTCAGCTGTTTTCTGAAATCTTTAACGCTCAGAATTTTGTCCAAGACCCAAAACAATGTGTCCTTTTATTATATACTTGAGTGGTGGTTTCTGATCTCTGGGAATGCTGAAGTCCAGAAGGCCTGTGCTTCATCTAGAGGCACCGAAGTCACGTTCCTGCCTCTTGGGAATGTGAATGCCACATCTGCCTGGCCAGCTGTGGATGCTCAGTTAAGATTCATATTTCAAAACAGAAACTGTTTGGCATCACAGCAGGTCCAGGGCCCTCCCTCTAGATTAGGGTCTTGAGTGCCCTTTGGGTGACTGTAGCTCCGTATAAGGCTTTGGCAGACTTTTCAGCAAATGACATAGTCATCTTGGGACAAAGTCCTTCTCACCACAGTCTGTGACTTTTAAACACCTTTGTCCAGTTCTCCTTTGTTCCATCCCTGCTGAGAGGCTTTGGCAGATAGAGCCTCCACGCCTCTAGCAACAACTCCAGGAGGTACAGGGGGAGTGAGGTGGTGAGGACATTCCCCCTTCAAACCCACCAGGGAGCTCCTGGGGGTCCGTACGGCCTGGTGTTCTGACGCCCAGTGCACTCTGGGTTTGCCAGGGTCCTTGTCAACTTCAGGAATGTCCACTCTGGATGCTGGCTTTACTGCATTTAAGACCCCTCAAGAGAAAGGGCCTTGGCAGAACTTGAAGGGGGAGTCTGGGTGACGCACAGGCAGGTGGTCCCACATACAGCCCGAGTGACGGAGTGAAGAGGGTGCCCTGACCTCTGAAGGAGCAGGGCACCCGAAGGCAGGGAGCCTGGGTCTGGCTATCCCACAGTCCCCCAGGGCCCCTGGAGGGCCCCTCTCCGGTGCCCAGCCTCTGCCTTTCCCCGATGGGGCCAGGCCACAAGGTCTGCCCAGAACTCTGCCACGCGATCAGCCGAGCGTGCTTACAGTCCCTGAGCAGTGATGTCTTTTAAAAAACATATATTACAGAGAAAATCTGACTTCTTGTAGAAAAAGATAGAAAATGCATAATTTTTTACAAAACGAAGTTCATTCTCTAATCTGTTTTTCTCACCTAGCAATGTATAATTTATTTTTCAATCAGTACCTGAATACACTGCAAAAGATTCTAGCAACATGAGAATGAAGAGCCCCCTCCCCGCCGGCTGGGGTGTCACGCTGCAGCGGCACCGCAGGGACCGGCTTCCCGAGGCCCCGGCAGGCACTGGTTTCTCCAGGGTGGACATGGACACAGAGAACTGCTGAGTCGGCGATTGTGTATATTTTCTATTTTAATAAATACATCAAAATGTTCTCAAAATAGCTGTACTGATTTGCTCTTCCCGAATTGGAACAGCTGTTTTCCCACACCTGCTAACATGTGAAATCGTCCCACATTTTAATGTTTCCCAGACCAAGAGGTGAAAATTATTATCTCATCGTGGCTTTAGCTTGAATTTCCCTGAAACTGGTGATGTTTACATTGGCTGGTCTGTTTCCTCTACTGTGAATAAGTCAGATATATCCTGGCCCCTATGTTGTTAGTCTTTTAAAATAATTTTTTTATCTTCAGTTGAGGATATGGTTCATTCATTTTAAAGAGAAGGAGGAGAGAGGGAGAGAGAGAGAAAAAGAGAGAGAGAGTGTGAGGGGGGGAGGGAGGGAAAGAGGGGGAGAGAGAGAGAGAGAGAGGG